TATTTATATTGGCATTGAACACAATAACAGTAATTACTCGTACTTCTATAAAAAATTCTACAAAATTGTAATTAATGGTATTACCTTGGGTATTGGTATTACCACAGATTTTTGGGGCAAAATATTTTGTACTGCATTTTCTCCTTTCTCCGATATGTGTGGAGGAGTCTTCTATATCGCTGATATCAGACATTTTAATATTATAATTATCGAAGTTTAGCTATCTACGAAAATTTAATACGTTTTGACAACTAAAACAATTACATAGGAATTTAGGACAAACGTCAAACATCATGCTTGATTGAAAAATTGTAGGTTTCTATTGATTAAAAATCTGTATCATAATGAAAAATCTGTATCATAATGGGTATCATTATGAAACGGATTATGGGCATATAAGTGCATTATTATAATACGGGTGTAGAAAAAATATAGTGTTTACTTTGTTACCTTCTCAACACATAAGCAAAAATTTTATAAAGAATGTTTTTTTTTCATTTAGGCCTTCGTTTTTTGTTAAATGAGTGGTATATTTAAAAAAGACGACTTTTTAACTACATTTTTGAAGGGCTAAAACCAAGATATTTACGTTTATATTTTTTTTCGGCCGTAAGTGCTAATGCAAATGATTTTTTTTAAATAAGTATAAACAATTACTCCCTACAAAGATTTTATTGTGCATTTGACCAAAAAATTAGTATTTTTTTCTCTATTCGGTGGTATCAATATCTGGATTTTTGATGATAGTGCCCTTCTGCACAATCTAATTTTGTATTAACTCCGGAAAAAGGGTTACCTTATCATGACCTTTCATCTGTGAAAAATTCAGCTATGTGACAAAAGAGTGGGAGGTGAATCGTTTTCTTGAGCGAATATTTTAATACATACACTTTACTAACAATGACAACAGCGGATATTATACCCACAATATATTGTGATTATACCCTACTGTGTCCCTTAGAATATGTCTTATTCACGGCCGCACGATATTTGTTAATAGTTACATCTCCTGGTTATCTCTGGTCAGTCAGGACAAACAATTTTATATATATATATATAGATACCAGAGTTACCAGACATTTATTTGTCTATAATGCAGAATTTACATGGTACCTACATTCTGCTTCCAAAGTTTTTTGAAGTTTACACTTTAAGAAGCATTTTTCCACATCCCCAACTAGCCATTCATAAAAGTGTATTTGTTGTGAAGTTCTCATCATCATCTATTGTATAGTCCAGGAGACAGTGACGATTTTCGGTATTTATTTTCCCAGTCAGCAAGCACGAATAGAGAATTGTAGGATTAGCAATTCTAAGCAAAATTCATATATATTTAGAGGGGGATCCGATGGGCTGAGGCCAAAAATGCGTCAAAACATACGAGAACACGGCTCTTTTTTTCCATTGATAAAAATAGTTTTAGTAGTAAGAGATGTACTGAAGTTAAGTAAAAAAATAGTCTGATTAATCTGTATGGATAATATATTTGGCAAGTGCATAAAATACACTTTCAAACGAGTTATGTACACAATTATTTCTACGACCACAATTATTTAAAGAATGTTCCAGGTGTTTTGTATATTAAAGTGTACGCATAGGACACATAAATAAAATCTTACATCACAATCTTTCACCTAACAAGTTGGTTTATTTATAGAAATTAAACATAATAATTGAAGATATTACAGAAGAAAATAGGGAAATAATTATAATTATTCTTAGTTTCGTTATGTCAAATCATTTATACTAGAGGTGTGAGGAAAATACAGTGAACTGTGGAACGCCAATATCGTTGGATGCGCGTGGTAGAAATGGTCCTATAATACTGCTAAAAACATAGCTAAATTTTCATGGAAACACTGTACTTTTGACATTTGCGATACTCCGACGCATATGCATTATTGATGTAATCTCATGATTTTACAGTAATAGTTTTTGCAATTTTAGTGTGATTTTTAGGTTATTATGGTTATTCATTTTATTTGGTTCTGCTTTTAGAGTATTTGTCTTTTATATAGTTTTTAATTTGAATTTTAATATTGTGGTCTATTTATATTTGATTGCTGCTTTTCGACTAGTGCTTTATTCTTTTTTGTGTTAAAATAAGCTTTATAACCATTAAGTACATGCTTCTAGTTGATATCTACCTAATCGTCATCGGGTGCTTGCAACAATGGGAAAAAGTGTATGGTTTTTTTGGTGTAAAGTTAGACGCCTTCATTTTTCAGGTAAGTTATTTGTAGTTATTTTTTACTTAAAAGGATAGCAATACATCCTGGTTCGGGGTGTGACTTTTGGGTTTTAGCTATCTGAGCCAAATTGTCGGCTAAGTGTCCTCTTTTAGGGCACCCAGAACCGAAAACTATATAGGTATATAATATGTTTTTTCTAAATTATTTTTTAATATGTATGCAGCTTGGATGAGGGCTTTAGGAAGAGATCCTAAGACTGAACACTGACTGCTATAAATGCCGTTTTTAGAGCACATTTCATAGTGATTTCATTCTAGCAGCAATGAGGAAACGTTTAAAAAACATGCTGTACCAGCTATTACTTTAAGACCTCGTCTCTTTAAGTTATTATTACTTCATTCTAATGCATATATTAAAATGGTTTTTAACTTATGTCCTTATGATTAAAAGATGTATGTATTTTAGTTATATTATAATAGAAATATATGATACTTTGTATTGACTGACCTACTGGCCACTGGTCATTCCACTTTTACTCCCTTTTTTCATTGATTATCAAATTATTTAAAGACAAATACATACCTAGCTATTTTCTGTAAATTACATTAAAATTTTAGTATTAATACTTTACTAATAAAACTTCAGTTAATTTATCTTATATATATACACAACGGAAGAGTTAATTGGATTTTCTCCTTGTTGAGTTTCAAAAATAGTAATTTAACATGATTTAAAAACAAATACATGAAATGGGCAAAATAGGCCTACAGAGGCACTTTGTAAACAATCTCACTTGTATCGATGTGGCGTAATGCGCGAATTCAATCTGGCTTACTTTTGTTAATAGATTGGCGTTCCATTTTAAATATACAGTTCACCGGGAATAGATTATTTAAATAGACACGGACCGGGAAAACAAGTACGAAAAAATTCACTGGCTCCTGGACTAGTACTGTATCGAAGGAATTTTTATGAATGAAACAATATACGACCCTCCACAATTGCTGTCTACTCAACTTCCGCTGTTGTCAGACATTATTTTTTTTTGACAATTTAAAGACCTAACAGTAATTCAAGCAAACGCAATAACATTACTACAGTTAAAAACATCGCAAACTTGGCATCAATATTTTAATTTTATCCAAATATGGCATTTCTGTCGAGGATCATCCGCGTTGACTTCAGAAATTGTGTAATCTGTATTGGTTATATATATCTATAGTTAAAAGCACGTAAACTTGGCATCAATGTTCAATCCGATTATTGAGTTTCTACCGCGGACACCACCGTTCATTCTTCAAAAATTTTGTAAATAATCCTATCTGTCTTGGTTATCTATGCATTTTTCGCATTGCGGTTAGCCGGGCTAGCATCTTATAAGTATAAGATCAAATTTAACACATAAAGCAGCCTCTTTTGTACATTTATTTGTTTATAATGCAGAATTTTCATATGAAATATTTTCATATAAAATATTATCTGTGGTCAAAGTTTTGCGAAATTTACACATTAAGTATATAGAATTATTCGCGGTGCGGTTAGCTGGGCTAAGTATAAGATTAGAGTTAATACATAAAGTAGCCTTCTCTGTACATTTATTTTGCAATAATATGTGTAGAATTTACACATTAAAATTTACACATTGAGTAGCATTTTTCGAGTTGCAGTTAGCCGAGTTTGCAGTTTATAAGTATAAGATCAGAGTTAACACATAAAGTAGCCTTCTCTGTGCATTTATTTGGCTTAAATGCAGAATTTACACATAAAATAGTACCTTCTTGACCAAAGTTTTACAAAATTTACACATTAAGTAGCATTTTTCGCGTTGCAGTTAGCTGGGCTTGCATAATGTAAGTATTAGATCAGAGTTAACACATAAAGTAGCCTCCTCTATATAGTTATTTGTTATTTGCAGAATTTACACATAAAGTAGTATCTTCCGCCACAAAAGTTATGCAAAATTCGCATTTTTTGCTCTGCATACGGCTTATATGAATGACGTATCTTCTGCATATTTATATGTCGTCTAAATTCGGAAATTTACAGTAAAGCAATATCTTCTGAAAGCTAAAAATCAATTAAATTATGAAGAAAACCATTCTCAAACCTGTACTAGTATAAGATCAGAGTTGACACATAAAGTAGCCTCCTCTGTACATGTCCTTGTCTATACTGCAGAATTTACACATAAAGTAGTATCTGCCTTCATCAAAATTTTGTGAAATTTGCACATTAAGTAGCATTTTTCGTTTTGCAGACGGATTTTATGAATGACTGCACCGTTATCACATAAAGTAGTATCTTCTGTATATTTATTTGTCGTCTAAAAGCAAAAATGTACACATAAAGTAGTATCTTCTGCAAGCTAAAGATCAGTTAAATAAAAAGAAAAACATTATTTTCCTACCTGTGTTCTGAATTCCTTCATTTCTTTTTCAATTTATCGTATTTTTAATATGATTTACGTTTTCGATAGTTTTTACCCATATTTTTATAATCGATGGAATGTGGTCGGTTTAACGATGCGAATCAGGTGACACAACAATTGGTAATGAGTAATGTAGGCACGCTGCGATAGAGAGTGTCGTAAAATTTTAAATCTGAACATGTGGGTCAGCGGCGTAACATAGGTATACTACATGGTCATCTTTATTTCCACTAACAAGGATGTGAAGCATAATTATTAATATCTTCTAAACGCAGCGACATACACCACACATCTGACATTTTATTTTTGATGCTGTGAGACAAGAACGAACAAATAAAAAATATGGAAGACGAAAAAATACTTTAATAGAACGTTTATTTACCAGTTAACAAGTTCGTAAAAAAAAACTCACCAACGTCTAACAATTTTTTTCCAGTATCTCTTTGTAGTCTTCCTAATATAATAACAATAACTTAACTAAGTGACAGACACGAAGAAATAATTTAGGAGAGTTAATATTTAAAATACAATTTTTCTAATGAATTTTATTAAAATCCAAATAATGTTCGATACTAACCACCAGTCTTTCTAAAAACTTTGTTCTATCTTTCAAATTTACATCGAAAAAATCATCTGCTAGTTTATTTTTCTCATCTTTAAACTCGGGCACATCATCAGATTCAATAAACAGCAGTTCCAAATATGCTGTGGCAAAGGTAAAACCATAAAACGAATATTTTTTCCAATGTTGCCACATCGTCGAGATCGGAAATAGTTTGCTAACGTCGCTTCCAAGCTGGGACAAGAACGATGATAGTTCATTATGGTAAAATTCCATCAATTCCGTAAAATGAGAGAATTCTTCTTTTGATGCTCCGGAATATAGGTATAAAGACAGGTCAATTATAGGCGAAAAGACGAAGGAAACTTGGAAGTCGAGTAACACCATGTTTGAAGGGCTTTCTTCGTTGCCATCCTTAAAGTAATGATAATTAAATTTTATTATATTTTTGAAGCTGATTTGAAACTGTCAATGGAGAAATAAAAACTATATAAATTCGAATTATAGAAATTTGATCAACATGGAAACTATAATATTTCTTCTCCTACTTACAGTGTGTCCGAAATTCGAATCTCTATGTATATATCTTGCTTAATATAAGAAATAAAATTTCTGTTAAATTGGGAATGTTTTGGAGAATTTGATACTGATCTCAGTTCCGTTTTTAAAATTATAAAAAAAACTATTAATACCCTTTTGTTTTTTAAATGGCGGTTTAACCGTTAATTTTTTATTAATGGAGATTTTTTTGTAGAAAAAATTTCTAAACCGTTTTTTTTTTGGATTTACCTACCGTAACTTTGTTATGTCTTGTGGCAGGTATATTTAAACATAATATTATTTCCGTTTAAAGTACCTTGTAAACGATGTGCCACATGCTATCCATTTTTTTTAAAAACCCTCTAAAATAAATAAAAAGCTATTATTTTCGTTTTGGTTAATTTATCTAAAATAGCATGTGGTACATGACAATGCATTGGTTCAATACCTGGAATACTACACTCACCGGCACGAAAAACGGGCATCCCTATAATTTTTGATTCAAATGCCTTAATTTGATATTTGTAATATTGTAACTTTTGTCAACGATAGGCACGGATTGGTACATGATTTTAAAATGTGCTTTCTTTAAGAAATATTTTCGGAAAGCTTTTATTTCAAAAGAATAACGTATGTAAACATTAACAAAAAGAAATAAATTTATTAGCAGTTACACACTTATCATCAGAAACACAAAAAACAATTTAAAAAACCAGTATTTAACCCTTGTCTGTCTAATTAATACCTCGTATTACCTCCACGAGCTTGTATAACGGCATTTATTCTTCTATGCATACTATTAATCAAGTTGAATAATTCATTCTGTGGAATTGCTTCCCATTCCTCTAAAAGAGCCACTCTGAGCTGATCCAGGGTAAGATGAGCAGGTACCCAGCTTCGAATCTTTCTATCGAGCACATCCCAAACATGCTCGATGAGGTTTAGATCGGGACTATGCGCTGGCCATGCCATTTGGGTAATACCAACTTTGTTCAAATATTCCATCACAATGCGGGCGGCATGAGGGCCTGCATCGTCATGCATCAGCATGAAGTTGTCACCAATAAATGGTGCATATGGGACAACATATTCTTGTAAAATTTCATTTATTTATCTATCCGCAGTCACAGATCCTCTAGAGACCATGTACAATTCTGTACGCGTCTCCGAAGATATTCCAGCCCACACCATAACTGAACCCCTTTTGAACAGTTAACCTAGGGCTAAAAGTACACTCGGCATATCGTTCACCTGTCCTTCTCCAGACTCTTTCCCGATCATCTGGTGATCGTAAGCAAAATCTGGATTCATCGGTAAACATCACAAAACTCCAGTCGTCTGCATTCCAATTTTGATGTTCCCTTGCGAATTGTAATCTGGCTACACGATGCTCCCTGGAAAGTTCTGGTCCTAAAGCGGATCTTCGAGATCTCAGATTAGCTTCATTTAACCTCATTCTAACTGCTCGTTCACTAACATTTACGTTCCTGATACATTCAAGGTTATTTCTAATCTCTACAGCAGTTGTGTGACGGTTTCTTAGTGCTGAAGATATTATTATTATTGTGTGTGTGTGTGTGTGTGTGTGTGTGTGTGTGTGTGTGTGTGTGTGTGTGTGTGTGTGTGTGTGTGTGTGTGTGTGTGTGTGTGTGTGTGTGTGTGTGTGTGTGTGTGTGTGTGTGTGTGTCTGTGTGTCTGTATCCACCATAACTCATGAACCGATACACAGAAAAACACCAAATTTTAAACTTAAGCTTTACTCCAGTCCAATGAACTGATTAGATTTTGGGCAGAGTCGGAACATCTGGGAGGGTACTTTATGGGTGGTCATTTTTATATTTTATGGAATATATCTGTTATTTACGTTTGGAGAAGAAAATTCTTCAAATAAAAATTACTTCTAATAATATTATCTATAATTTTTGTCCCATAAAAATTTTTCCTAAAATGGTCCGTATTCGAGAAATTTGACAAAATATAAGAAAAACTAATTTTTCATAAAAATTGTTTAAATAAAAGTTGTTTATAATATTATTTTCTATAATTTTTATTCCATACATAATTTTTCTAAAATAGACCTATTCGAGATATTTGAGAAAATGTGTAAATTTCGAATTTTGAAGAAAACTTAAAAACGGATAAAGAAAAAAACATTAAATTTTAAACTCAAGTTTTATTTCGACCTGACGTGAAATGATTAGATTTTGGACAAAGTCGGAACATCTGGGGGAGTACTTTATGGAAGGCAGTTTTTATATTTTATGGAATATATCTGTTATTTATGTTTGGCGAAGAAAATTGTTCAAATAAAAGTTACTCCTAATATTATTATCTATAATTTTTGTTTTATGTCAAAATTTCCTGAAATGGTCCGTATTCGAGAAATTTGACAAAATGTGCAAAATTCTGATTTTTATGAAAATTGTTGAACTAAAAATTGTTTGCGATATCGATCTCTATAATTTGTGTTTATACATGATTTTTCTAAAATGGACCGTGATGGAAAAATTGTAGGAAAAGTGCTAAATTTAAATTTTTCAGTATTTTTGTTTTCAATGAATATCTCTAGAAAAATGTTTCGAGGTAGATATATGTGGAACATGCATATATATAGTTTACCCTCTAAACATTTATAGAGGTGCTGCAATAGGTTGTACAAAATAACCGGAAAATGCATATAATAACTAGATAGGAAAGTCATGAGTTGGACACATCAGATTTTTAAACTTTGAGGTAGGAAATTCTGTAACACATTAATAAATAATGCGGAAATGTTAATTTGCACTGTGTGATGCATTGAGAAAATTGTCGTATGACCTTTAATACGAATAATGAAACACAATTTCTTGCGAAAATATTTAATTAAATGTAGGTACACTTAAATTAATTCAGCCATAATTAAAAAAAAACTAGACAATTTCATAAAAAACATGTACATTAAATAAACAATCACTTCTGGAATGTTGGCTACGAAAAAAATTCAAATCAAGTTACCTGAATTAAAATTTTGATATTTAATTTCCTTCAAAATTATTGAAAATTACTAGCTAGAAAATTACTAGTGATGAAATGGTAATAATATACTCTACAGTATATTTACAACCTATTAATATTTCAAATTGTATATCGTTAATATTAATTTTTGTAATAAGTAAGTTAGAATTGAAAATTAAAAAAAATACTCAAAATATGTGTAATTTGTGTTTTAGTCATTGTGACCGTAGAAAAAGTATATAGTGTTACTTGTTCAAAAAAATCTATTCCACACTCGTTTCACTCATCGTGTAGAATTGTTGCACAATATAGAATTTTCTACACACAAAAATGTATTGTATACCTAATTAATAAATTAAATACTGTACTTATAGTAAATTACCTTGTACTCGAACATGAAGTTGCCATTGTGACAATCCGCGTGCGTTAATACTCTTTCATCAGGTATATCGAGTAGAAGGTCCCTTACAGTTTCCATCACATTTCGTCCCACCAATTTTTCATATCTTTTCGCAAGATCTCTCCTACCCACTTCATTTAAATTATTAATAATTTTCGTAACAGATTTTTCGTAAATTCCTTGTATCATAGAAAGTTTTTCCAGTACAATGTTGTTGCAAGTTTTTTCGATTTTTTCGAAAACTTCCGGTTTTTGATCTCTAATAGCTAGGGATAAAGCGTGGAATTTTGCATAATTACTTAGTACTAATTTTATATGATTGATGTTCATAGGAATTTTTTTATTATGCAGCACGTATCCCTTAGTTGTCATATTTTCCTGTATTACAACTTCCGCATTTTCAGTGTGGAAAGCTGTGTAGCATTTCGGTAACGCTCGGAAGGGTTTTTTAATGTTTTTTTCCTGTTGGAACTGCTGGAAAATCGGCACTATGTCTTTAAAAAAATCCACCTCTCTTTGGCAAATATCGGATAAGAATTTTCCTGAATGTGAAGGTTTACTCGCCTTGGCCGCTAAATGTAGTTGTTTTCCATTGTGATTGGGTTCATCTAGTGTTACTTTCGCAAATATTATGTCGGCTACGTATCCATCACCTTTTTCCTTTGTACCTTTTAGTTCCACAGTACATTTTTCTGTGCCTGCAGCTTTTTTGAACCAATTTATTAATTCACTACTTTCGCGATCCATTGTCGAATATTCATTAACACTGATTCTGTTTTGATCACGATATACGCTATCGTAATCAATTTATTACTTATTTTTTCAAGGTTCACAGTATAAATAATATGCGCCAGACTTTTTGATAGGTCAGGTTTAATAGATAATAAAAATCGAAATAAATATGTTTTGTGTGTTTTAGTATTGCAAATATTTATATGAGATTAGGCAGGGATCAAGTAACAATTTTTTGTTCAAGGGTACGAGGGTCGTTTAACAAGTCCCTTAGAAAAAGATAGAAAAACAAATTATTTTAGGTAAATTTTTTATTATTTTTCAACATAATCCCCCTTTTACCTCTATACGCTTTTCCAAGCGTTTCTCCAAATTTTTAAGCTACCTTAAATATAAGACTGCTTTTTACCCTAATATAATGTAAAGTCATAAAACTATAAATAGCATTTTTCTCAGAATACCGAACGTCGAATACCTGTGTTTTCAAGTGCACAGCGGTGCATTGGAACAAAATGAGTGTCCGGCGCATAGTTAACGAAGCACAAATGACGTATTTCATTATGTCATGATGTTTTCATTGGTTGAAACCGAATAGGTGCGTCAACTATGCCCCGGACACTCATTTCGTCCCAACAGTATATATTAGGGTGAGCTCGACGTGACGAGTTCAGTTGTCTTATTGCCACCAAAGAGTTCAGTTGTTTTTTTGCCATCATCGCTCACAGTTGTCTTTGCCAGGTGCTTCTGCCGACGGCACGTTACTTTCTACATTTTTACAAGCATTTAATGCATTTTATTTTCTGGTGAAAGTTATATCTTCTACAATTATTATGGCATAAGAAATTCTACAAACAAATGTTTTCAAGTTGGTAACTAAAAAATCAACTGTATTAGTTAATAAAATTGTGATGAACTGAAATTGTAAATATTTAAAACTGTTTAGTGAAGATAAGAAAATTATATCTAAATGGAATCAACCACTATGTATTTACTTCAGTGAAAATAGTAAATTAAAAACACTTCTTTTTCTACTACCTATGACTCGTTAGTTATTTCTACAAAAGAACCCAATTCTTCTAACACCAGCGACATATGCTACAGAACATTTTTACCAAAGAATTATTCGGAAGTAACACCGGTATTTTTTCAGGCACCAAGATTCTGTGCAGTAGATCATCAGGACACCAAATTATATACTGCGCAGAATCCTGGTGCCAATGACTGGTTTTGGATCGTTGTTGGAACAAACCTCATAACACTTAACTGATCGATGAATTATACATATCATCGACGATAATACAAGCAGAAAACTCGGTTTTTAAGGTGCCGCGAAAACTCCTCACAACAATTTTGAGAAAAATTAAATTTTAATTTAATAAGTTACTTCTAATTTAGTAATTATTATAAAGCTATTTAGAGGTCTCTAACTCTTATTTTTTCTTGTGATCACTTATCACTTTGATGATGTGTTTGAGTTTGCGGTCGTGCTGGGACTTCCTGGGGGATATATATCCCTATTATCCCCCCCCTGTAGGTACGCCACTGACTACAATACTTAATAATAAAAAACATTAAAGTCAATAAAAACTTAATAATATAAAAGTAAAACAAATGAAAACACAAAACAAACCCTGTGCATAAACCAAGTTGCAGATACCAAAAAAACCAGAATTGGTTTTTACTACATAAATATTTCATTTTTTGTTGAAGACCTATATGTTTTCCGTACATATTGGATCCGTTGTATCATATCTTGAACATCTAGTTCTAGATTAGCCAAAAATAGTTAACTAAAAGTGATAAATTCCCTCTTTTATTTTACTTAAAATAGGATAAAACACCAAAAAACATCCTTTTTCTAATTTTGACATTTTTTTTTGTGAAAAAACACTCCATAAGGGGCGTTTATTAATATTACAATCTGATCAAGAGTTGATCGATAAGTAATTTTGTTATAACGTAACTTAACTAGAGTTGCAATCTTAAAAACTAAAAATTTACACGCTAGTATACCTTAGGGTCTGATAACTTAATTACACTAAACTAACGTGTAACACTAAACCGCACAATGCTTTGCTTTGTTATTAACACAATCACTTGGCTAACTCAAAAGGTTTCACTCTCCTGAGTCTTCTTGTCAGGTTCGTGTTGTCAAGAAGCTGGATCGCCTCAACGTTCACATGTTGGTGGAGTCGTTGTTCGTGACTCCTAGAGAATCTGGTGATAGTCTGGTCAACAGTGTCCATCTGAAGGTCTCAATAAAGGTCGCTGTTTTTTATGTACCAAGGAGCATCGATAATGTTCCTTAATACTTTGTTCCGGAATCTCTGGATTATTAGAACATTACTGTAGCTGGCACAACTCCAGAGCTGAATGCCTTAGGTCCAAATTGGTTTGAGAACTTGTTCATATAATAGAATTTTGTTATATATAGATAGGCTGGAAAGTAACCAGTACATTTTCTTGAATTTTATATCTAACTCTTGTCTTTTGTTAATATAAGACCTAGATATTTTGCCGAGTTAGCATAAGGGACCTGAGCATTATTTATGTTAATTAGTATTCTTTGACCATTTTTGTTAGTTAAATTAATATTAACAGATTTGGTTTCGTTTAGTTTAATACGCCATATTTTGATTCAATTATTTATTTGATTAACCGATATTTGTAGTTTATTTGCAGCCTCTTCATGATCTTTGCCTATCACTAGAATGGCAGTATCATCTGCAAATGTAGCTATTGTGCTATTGTGTCTTGTACTAGTTGAGGTATGTCAAAAGTATATAATAGATACAAAGTGGGTCCCAGGACGCTTCCGTGTGGTACTCTTGCTTTAATTTCTTTCAATTCAGAGTATGCTTTATCTTGTTTTTCAACTATCTTAACAGGACTAGACTCAGGAGACCAAGAGAGCTACAGTCACAAGGGGATCAGACCAACTCCAACAGACTGGAAGATGGCCTCCAAGATCACAAGACCACACAGGATTAGTTGGGCTATCAACAAATTTAAGGCATACAAATCCCCGGGGACGGATGGAATATATCCAATTCTGCTCCAGAAGGGGAAAGATGTGTTAATGCCACATTTATGCAAAATCTTGAGAGCATATATTGCCTGGAGATATATCCCAGCAATATGGCAAAAGGCGAAAGTAGTCTACCTTGCCAAAGTAGGTAGGGTCACAGACCAAACGCCAAAGTCGTATCGCCCCATAAGCCTATCCTCCTTCCTATTTAAAACTCTAGAAAGATTGGTAGATAGGTATATCAGGGACGAGATACTAAAAATAAATCTGCTCCATCCCAACCAATATGCATACCAGCCAGGAAAGTCAACGGACCTAGCGCTGGACGATCTAAACAGGCTGCTTTCAAAGTCAATAAATGACAAAGAAATCGCAATAGCCACTTTCTTAGACATCGAAGGAGCTTTCAACAATGCCCCAACCAGGTCAATAACCAAGGCCCAGTTAAAATATGCCAATGGATTACTGCCTGTCTAGAGAACAGGATTATTTTATCCACTCTAGGAAAGGCAACCATACAGGCAAAAGTTACACGCGACTACCCACAAAGAGGAATATTATCTCCAATGTTGTGGTCAGTTCTTGTGGACGACTTACTCAAAATATTATCCAAAGAAGGCTATCAGTGCCTAGAATATGCAGACGACCTATCAATTATCGTCAGGGGGCGATTTGCAGGCACAGTCTTGGAGCGATCTCAAACAGCTCTAAACATAGTGAACAACTGGTGCAAAATGGAACAATTGTCCATTAATGCACAAAAAACAACAGTTGTGCCATTCACAAAAAAAAACAGGTACTTACAGGACTAAAACCACTAGTACTAAACAACATAGTTATTCCATTCGTCACAGAAGTCAAATACCTCGGAGTCATATTTGACCAAAGGCTGACGTGGAATCAACATCTCAAAAAATTCACATACAAAGCTACAATAGCTCTCGTAAGCTGTAAAAGAATATGTGGGAAAACTGGGGTCTAAACCCCAAAATTACCATATGGTTATACACAAGGGTAATAAGACCCATGATAACCTATGGTGTAGTGGCGGGGGTAACCAAAACTGCACAGACAAGTGCAATAGGCCAACTCACTAGCATTCAGCGGCTTGCCTGGCTAAGTGCTACTGGGGGTATACCCACTACGCCGACTGCAGCAATGGAGGCATTAAATCTCACGCCACTGCACATCTTCATACAAGGAGAAACCAGGTCAACTATTTACAGGATTATGCAGGGACAAAACCCAATAAGCCAACTACTTTGCGCCGACCACACAAGGCTATATCAGCAAGTAAAAAGAGATGGTATTCTAGCTATGCCTACTGAGCCATAACCACTATACAAATTTGAAAGAAATTTTTAAATTCAAATTCCAGCTCGAGAATCTTGAAAACAGGGACCTCCCGTACAGGCTGAACTCGTCTGGTATACAGACGGTTCAAAAATCAAGGAAGGAGCCGGTGCTGGAATCTATGGACTCAAGTCGAAAACAACAATTTCGCTGAGTTTAGGAAAATATACAACAGTGTTTCAGGCTGAACTAATAGCCATACAACACTGTGCAAGAGAAATATTAAATCAGCAAGTATCAGGCAAAATTATTGCCATATACTCTGATAGCCAAGCAGCTCTAAAGGTACTTCTCTCACCAGAAATCAAATCACGACTGGTGAAAGACTGTCTAGAAGACCTAGCAGAGCTAAGTAGTCAAAATATGATGACCCTAGCCTGGGTTCCAGGCCATAAGGGATATCAGGGCAACGAAAAGACCGACGAATTAGCCCGAGAAGGCTCAGATAAGGCCATGACAGGCCCCGAACCCTTCTGTGGAGTTGCTAAGGCATTGTGCAAGGCATCTATTAAACAATGGATGCAAAAAGAGTCTCAGGAATGGTGGAACAACTATCCAAGACTGAGATAGGCCAAACATCAAGGAACCATCGGCCAAGTTCACGAAAGACCTACTGGATCAAAAGCGTCAAATCGTTAGGATAACGGTAGGCTTTCTTACTGGATATTGTCGCCTCAAAAGGCACA